GTTTTGGTACACTACCTCAGGGAAGTCACGAGCTGACCACAAAGCTCCCATATGTACGCACCAAACACCTGGTTTATGGCGGGCAGCTCTTTGGCCGCGTCCCCAACAAACGACTGTCCCTCCAGGAAGCCGACGACGCTGGGGGTTGTGCGGTTGCCGTTGTCGTTGGCGAGCAGCTCCACTCTTCCGAGACGACACGCTGCCACCACTGAGTACGTCGTGCCCAGGTCGATACCCACGGCAACCCCAGGAAGGTCTCGCACGTCGACTGCTGTAGAAACAACAACAAAAATGCAATAAATTTGCATTCCGATGAAGAGGGGTAGTATGTTTTCATGACTATAATATACAGAGAACACAATAACATGTTTGCTATGACTTGGCTGTGTATGATAGTCTTTGAGCAATCTTCCCTTCGTAACATAATTTGAAGTCTTTTGTGTCAATGTTTATTTAATTAAGACAGCTCAAAGCTGTTAAATGAAGTATGGACTAGAAATGCAAATGTGTAAATGTCGCACAGTTCTAGGAGTGTAATGCCCATTTGTATCCTTGTTGGAGTGAAGGTGTGAATTTTCCTTTGAAGTTCACCCACTTGTGCCTAAATGTGGACAAATGGTGTTCACACACAACAAGTGTACAACATTCACACACTTTGTTTTCCAGTGTGGTGAAATCTTTATACTTTCAATATTTCTCTCATTTAAGATGACATAATAAATTACTTTGCCTCCAACTTACAGGACCGCATCAGTTAGTTTATGTATACCATGAGACACGTGTTCTTTATTTTCCAAGCTCTCCATTTGAATACATTGTGGCTATTATAAGAATCATATGTACTAGTAACAAGTACATGATAACTTGGTACTTCTTGTAAGTACAATTAGTTCTAAATACAACCACAGTGTATTCGACTGAATGGAGAACATTGAAAAAGATAACATATTACTCGGTGTGTTCATACTGGAATGATGAGAGCTGTCATCCAATGTGCTCAAAGAACATACCAAAGTCCCACGTCAACTGAAAATATGTTGTTACTCATTTGTACCTAGATAGGTTTCGTCAAGTGGCTTAGGCGGTCATTGACAGTATCTCTTGACTGTGCACACAATAAATACCCAATCAAAGCATTCTTCCTCATAAATCATGGACCTTTGTCTGAAGCAGGGCTCTACTTATTACTTTATTACCTTTGATGTTATTTTAAGCATTAAACTTGTAACTTCCCACTGTGGCCTTTTTGAAATAATTTTCTTTCTTTCATTTCTTCAACTTTTTGTCGGGTCTTAATTAACAGCATATTTCCAAATTCATAACCTTAGCTTTTCCTTGCACATGTGGATTTGTTAAATTCAGAAACTAACGGTTGTTGGGGTGTGAGAAGTTATGGAGCCCTGGTATTTTTAATGTGCTAGCGTCCCTCTTTCAGTATGTGTTCTGAAGTAAGACAACTTGTCACTTTTTCCCAGTTAAGACATTTCAGAAGCCCTATAGGGGGTGCACGGTATACATTACTTCTCGAAGGATTTGATTGTTGTTCGACCCTTCTCGCTTTAGTGGACCGTTTTTGAGGTTAAAGCCTTGGAGACTTATCCGCTAGGCGGGGGCACCAACCAGAGTACTTACGTTTCCCAGACATGACGCAAGTAATAGTGTACTGCACACTTTATCCTATTTACAGCGCTACTGCAACACCAGCTAGTTGCACACGTTCACTTGCACAATCTATAGGGCTTTACGTTTACGGGAAACGTTAGTCTTCCCAGCGAAAGAGTAGTGAAGTGCGGAAGGCGGATTCTGTGGCTCTTTTCCCCGACTACTCAGTTCTCACCAATCAGTCCACAGGAAACTGAGTAGTGGGGGAAAAGAGCCACGGAATCCGCCTTCCGCACTTCACTATTCTTTCGCTGGGAAGACTAGGCCGGCCCAGCCAAAAACGTCGTATCGATATTCCGTCGAATCGACATCGACTTCTCGAAAAATTCATCGTTTCGACGTATTTTTGGACCTCTGGTACGACCAACGACGTCGAAATGACGGCGTTACGACATGCCATTTCTGGCTGGGGGGCGGCTGCCAGTGTTAGTTCGGTCGGTTGTCGGTTCGCTCTGCGGCCGTTGCGTTGCGAGCCGCGCCCCGCCAGCCGCGCCCCTCACCTCACAACGAGCGGCACGACGGGGGCGGCTGGCAGCTCGGGGCCTGTGCTCAACGTTGACTTCGAGGTCGAGGATACTACTGTGAAGTATATTGAAGGACCCGCTCACACTTCTCGTATCGTCAACAGTCGTGGCACCCTTGGAAGGAGACAACGCTGACGCTAGGCATCTCCGTCTCGTCAGGTCTCCATCGAAACTCGTCCACTTTCATCAAGAGCCATAAGGTAACATAGTGTCCTTAAAACGGGGTTCTCACGAAGACCTCATTGTTGACCGACCTCACAAGTGCAAAAATCGTGACCGCTGAGGTCACAATGAGATCTTCGTGAGAGAAACGTTTTCCTTGGGTGGGAACCGTGTGTCGGAGGTGTGGTCCCTGTGCTAACATTGTGCCCCGTCCGTTTCCCCTGCAGAACATGGAGCTGCTGCCGGACGATGTGCTGGTGGAGGTGATGAAGTACCTGGATGTGCCAAGCCTCATGACCTGCCGCCTCGTGTGCAAGAGGCTCGGAGGCCTGGCCCTGCACCCGGACGCCTGGCGGGACCGCTACCTCCCCGCCAGTGGCCCGGTCCCGGCGTGTGCGGTGCTGCGCCTGGCGCCGTGCCTGGAAGGGATGTCTGTCAAGCTGCAGTCGGCGAAGTGCATCCTGGCGTACACCACGACGAGGTGCGCCGTGTCGAGGCTGCTGCTGGAAGTGGCCGGCTCCCACGGGCTGCACGCCGCGCTGATCATCCGCAACCAGGAGGCGCTCGGGCGGCTCAGGTGTGTGGAGGTCGAGTTCTGCGCTCCCCGGGTGGCCCGCGCCGACGTGTCCGTGTTGTGGGGGACGGTGGCGGCCACGCGTGGCCTTGAGCAGCTCCACCTGGACTGCCCCGGCCTGACCGTCCGTCACATGGACAGCCTCACGTCGCACTGCACCCCGCCCCGCCCGTCGCTCAAGTACATCCAAGCAGAGCTCTCATCCAAGTCGCAGAACTTCAACAACCTAGTGCTGTCCGCGCACGCCCCTACCTTGGATCTTGTCCACATCTCAAACCACTCGTACGGCCGCTGCCCGACCTCGACGGCGACGGCGACCATCCTGGCCGGAATGCCAAATCTTCGACAGTTGTACTGCCCCTTGCAGCTCCCCGGGCTGGAGGCCGTGGCCGCGTGCGAGTCACTCAGGGAACTGCACCTGCATGTTTGTGCCAAAACAGAAGTGCAAGACGTCGCCGGGGCCGCGGGCCTCCTACGCCGTGCCACCCAGCTGCGCGAGCTCAACGTGCATTACGACTGCGATCCTGACGAGATCGCCTACAAGTACGGCTACGACGAAACTATATTCCAGGACCTGATTGCGGAGCTAGTCCGAGCCCTGGCCTCGTCAGGACGCTCTCGCATTGAGTCGCTGGCAGTCTGGGACCCTGACACCTTCGAGGACGACACTTTCCCCTCCCTGCGCCAGCTGCTCGCCGCGCTCCCCTCGCTGAAGCACCTGCGGCACCTGCGGCTCCAGGCGGCGCCGGACGAGCTGCTGCTGGGCATCACGCCTGACACGGCCCCGGCCCTGCAGAGGCTCGCGCTCCGGCTGAGGAGCGTAGACTACCCCCCGTGCGCACACGCCTGGCTGCACAGGGACGCAGTCAAGCAGGTGCTGTCTGTCAACCCGTCGTTGGAATTATTTGTTACTCCCATGCGGCTCTACTGTTCCCAGGGAGCCTGCGTGGCGTGTGCTCTTGGCTGCCACTTGCGGCTGTGGGACAGCATTCAAAAAGAGTTTTGTCTTTTTGATGACGAATGGATTCTAATTCCACGTGGTTAACTTTGCCTGTAATAACGCTATAAGTCTCTACAGATTATTGTTAAAAAAAACTTCTGTTCTGTGCATCTTTTTGCTGTAGATAATACATGTTCCATCTTTTTTTTTGCATTTCGCGAATGTATATTAATTCTAACCCCTTTCCCTTGTCGCGCCTGAAACCTGTGCGCAATAAAGCATTCCGGTAAAGCTGAAGTGCACAAGAATGCGGGGAAGAAGAAAACGGAAATCGGTATGCTTTTACATGTTGACTTCCGTTTTCTTGTTCCCTGCATTCTTCTGCATTTCAGCATTACTGAAATGCCTCATTCATGAGCACACTGATGCTGCCGCCACCACGTCCACTCTAAAGACGACCGTCTTGGAGTACTCGTGGTCGTGCGCGAGCGCAGCGGCCGTCGTCTCGTTCACAATATCTCCGAGGGGACTGTCCATGATCTACGTGGCCACATCATTTTGGACACTTATCGACCACCAGCCGCTATGAGGCAAATCGACTAGACTTAAATACACGCTGTTAAGTAGGCAAAATGTCATCAGCATCGACCAGACTTAAACTGGGGCTATGTATGGGACGCACCTACATAGTCAACTGGAGG